CTGGTGGAAAGAGTCGGCGGAAATATAAAAAGAGAAAGTGAAAGCGGAAGTTCAAAACGCAGCGCGTTTACATTTTACAAACCTGTTCCATCAGAGAAGCTCTCTAAGTTCAAACAATCAGCGAAGAGAAAAGAGGAAGAGATGAAGAAGAAGATCTGAGAAGTTAGGAGTGGAAGAAACAGTGAGAGAGTGGCGCGGCGGGAATAATGTGTGCACTGTGCAGTGCCTCTCTTGGTCTCAGCCTCCTTTCTGGCCAGAGACTGCGGTCTCTCTTTCTCACCCCTTACTTACTTTACGCGGTCTCAATTTCTTTCCTCACATCCCTGTTCCCAGTACTCTAACTTTTTTTTTTTTAAAGGAAAAAAAATGTTTTTTTTTTCTTTTAAAATTTCTCAAATTTATTTTTTTTCCTAAAATGTTTTTCGTCTAAATTTAATTCTTCAAATTATAACATGTGTTATTTTTTATTCAAATATTTAACTTTATTAGATTAGTGCTTGCATAACTAACAGAGTTACATGCGTAGCTAGAAGTGTTTAAAAAATTGAATTTACGGATAAAAATTTCTTCAGTTTTTATATTTTTCACTGTAAAAAAATTAGTTCAATTCAAATTAATTTGCATAATTAATAAAACACCTCAGATCAGTTTGTTCAATTATTTTTCTGTTTAATTCAATTTGGACGAATTGTTTTTGCAGTTCAGTTCTTATACAATTCAATTTATTTCAATACTTTTGAACATTCCTGATGACATAATTGTTCATATGGACTTTTTTTTGGTTGACGAAGATGGCACATGGCATCCACAAGGCAAATTTTCTTTTTTCTTTTTATCCTTAAAAAACCTTTATATCTTATTTTAGTCTTAATAAAATTTAAGTTTGATTTTAAACCCTATAAAATTTATTTTAGTTCATTGAAATTCAAAGCTTAGTTTTTCTTGAATTCAAAGTTTTATTCAACGACATTTTAATACATGAGAAAAAGAGGATGAGTGTTAATTAGAATGACACGTGAATCTAGTCAACTTTTGACTTTCCTAGTTTTTAGGCAATAAAGAGTAAAATAACTATTAGAATAAAAAAATAATTGATTTTGCTTTTTTCAGAAATTTGCTAATGATTATCAATAGCTGATTTTTCATGATTATGATTTCCTTATTGATGTATAAATGCACGTTATGTTATTATACAATAAAAATAATTCAATTTATTTCCTTCATTTTGGATACCGCTTTGTACATTTCTTTTCAAATGATCAACAAATTGCTCACCTGACAATTGTTGGAATATGTTTAAATATTTCTAATTAAAAAAAATTTAATTTTTTAGTCTTTAATTTAAAAGGAAAATTATTGAAATACAATATCCCACATTGTTATAATAAGATGAAGAATATGAATTTATAAAAACATACAAAGCTTCCATTGATATAAATCTTTTGAGTAATAATTAAAATAAGAGTTTAAATTTAAAATACATAATAGCATATTAATGTAGAGATGTTTGTGAATCTTTGATACATAATATGATATTGAAAAACCTATTATAAACTTTTCAAAGATTTTTCCTCCCATTTGAAGCCATAAAAGAAGATTATAATAATTTTGCATCATCAAACGATTCCATCATGCCCAAATAAAAATTCACAAATAAGGATAAATAACGAAAACAAAGACAGATAATTATTTATTTGTTCATGTCTTAAATAATAGGTTAAAAATCTATTTTAGTCTCTTATAATAATTGTTTGTTTCAATTTAGTCTCACTTTTATTTTTTATTTTAATTTGGTCCCAAATAAATTAATTAGTTTCAATTTGGTCTCTAATGAATTAATTGGTTTCAATGTGGGACTTCTGTCAAAAAAATTTTAACGATGTTAACTATTAGTCACGTGGATGCTACGTAAATGCACACGTGGATGCCAATTGGATGACTTTTTTTTAAAATACCTAAAACCAGAATGGCCCATTCTAGAACCAGAACGGCTCGTTCTGGGTGAACTTTAGGTGTGTTAATTTTGCATCCGAAACGGCCCGTTCCAGGTGCAAAATTAACACACTAAGAGTGCAACCAGAACGGCCCGTTCTGGTTCCAGAACAGGCCGTTCTGGTTCCAGGTGTTTTAAAAAAAAAAGTCATCCAAGTGGCATCCACGTGTGTATCTACGTGGCATCCACGTGGATTTGGTACAAAATATTTCAAACACTGAATTTGATAATATTGTCAATGAAAGTTGATAACTTCAATTATTAAACAGTTGGGCTATACAGTGTATCATTAAGGACAATGCAGTGTATCACTAAAGATAATGGTAGCAGATTTTATTTCATTGTTAGTCAAGCTGGAGTGAACCACTTACTACCAACAACAAGAACCTGTTCTTGAAGAGGTAGAACCTAAAGTAAAGGAAGAGGATAGACAAGACTAACATTTCACCACACAGCCACATGCAGGGACGGATCTAAGTTAATCATAGTAATAATTTTTTTCATTTTTTTATATATATAAAATATTAATAATTTTATAAAATATATATTATTAATTATATTTTAATTATGTTGTTATATTTAATATAATAAATACATTAATATTTTTTATATTTTATTATATTGTTTAATTATTTTTTATTTTGTGGTAAAATTATCTTCATTTTTAATGAAGAAAAAATTTACTTACTTCAAGAGTAAGTCTTGATAGATTTATTCTACTTAATAATTAATGTTCTATATCAAATTTTTAAAAATTTAATTGTTAAATTAAAAAACTTTTCATGTATAGATCAAATTTATAAAAAAATTTAAAAAATTAAAAATCATATGATACTTCGTTAAATTAATTCAAATTAACATATAAAATATTTTTGTTTTAAATGAGTATAAAAATTTAGAGGACATTAAAAGAAAACAAATTAATAATTCTATTATTTTCACTTAACTGGCGTTCTGAAACGGGCCGTTCTGAATCCGGAACGGACCGTTCTGGTTTCAGAACAGTCCGTTCTGATGTACTGGTGGTGGGTTAATTTTGCATCTGGAACGGCCCGTTTCAGATGCAAAATTAACACACCAATAGTGCATCCAGAACGGCCCGTTCTGATTTCAGAACGAGCGGTTATGGTTCCAGGTGTTTTCAAAAAAATTGGCATCCACGTGAAATCCACCTATACATCTACGTGGCACCCACGTGGCCAATAATTAACTCCGTTTAAATAATTTAGACTGAAGTCCCAAATTGAAACCAATTAATTTATTAGGGACCAAATTGAGACCAATTAATTTATTAGGGACCAAATTGAGACCAATTAATTTATTAGGGACCAAATTGAGACCAATTAATTTATTAGGGACCAAATTGAGACCAATTAATTTATTAGGGACCAAATTGAAACAAAAAATAAAAGTGAGACTAAATTGAAACAAACAATTATTATAAGAGACCAAAATAGGGTTTTAGCCTAAATAATATTTTCACCAAAATCATGACTCTTAAATCAATGAAAGTAATTTTGAATTACGTACTTAAGGAAAGAATTCATAGGAGATAAAAGGATTTGAAATATGCAAGTGTTGAATCTAATAAAAGAATTTGAATTATGGAAAAATTTGAGACAACAAAAAATTATTAAGATAAATTGCTTGGTATAACCAATAAGGTATGATTACTTTGGCACACAATTTTTTGAAACTATAATTTTTGGGGAAAAAATTCAGTAATTGGACCTAAAATATGTGAAGCTTCAATAATAGTCTTAGAGAATAGAAGATCTATGTAAGATCACTTTAGCATAAATGTTAGATGCATCATAGATATTAGAGCAAAAAAGTTTCGCGAGATAAGAAAGAAGTATGGAAAGTGTATATTTAGTCAAATAGGAGAATAATTGTGACAAAAATAAGAAGAAAGAGTCATTCCAATAAGGCACTCAAAATAATAACACTCAGATTTTTCCATTATGATTTTATTACAAAATGACTAATTATTCACAACAAAGATGTTGGTGGGAGACCTAATACAAGATGTTATAAGTGCGACCAATTAGGACACATGAAAAAAGTAACTGAATCTCATGAGCAATAAGAAGAAGTCAACATTGTTAAAAATCAACAAGAACAACAACAACAATATCATGTTTTACAAGTAATAAATCCACAAAGTTTAATTTTATTGACAATGATTATACAAATCATATGACTTATGACATAGAGTTATTTAAAGATCTCAACAAAACTAATATCTTTAAAGTCATAATGGAGAAATGAGCACACATTGCAATAAAAGGTATAAGAACATTTGCAATTAAAAATATTCAAGTTTGAAATCAATTAATTAATATTTGATGTTTTATACATTTATAATATTAATAATAATAAAAATTAAGTGTTGGTCAATTATTAGAGAAAAGCTACAAAGTCTTATTTGAAGAAAATAATTATGTAATTAAAGATACAAACAACAAACAAGTGATCAATGTTCAGATGAAGGAAGAGTCAACTATAAATGATGAAAAATATAAAGATGCATGTCTTTTTAAGAAGCTCAGTGTTCAAGAGGAGAATGAAAATGATGAATAACCACTACTTTTGAAGGAGAAAATCAAGTTAAATGCTAAGGCAGTCCCACTCAAAAAAAATTGTGATAAGCAAAATAAAAGAAAGAAAATAATTATAAAAGAAAAGGAAAGACAAATTTCAAAGTTGAAATTCAAATTGGATGGTAAAGACATTAAGTCAAGGAGGAGAAATTGGAATATGCTTGAATATCCTTAGTTTGAAAAATGGATAATTCAATTCTTAAGAAATTTGTTACATTTTAAATTTTTAGGATATTGTTTAAATAAAAATAAGGATGTTATTCTTATCATTTAGGTTTAGAATATCATTGGTTTCATTTTAAGATTAAGATAATGTAAATATTTAATTTTTTGTATTATAATTTTATTCTATAAATATAGAAAGGTCATGAATAAAATTAGATCAAATTCATTTGATAAAATAATATCTATGCAAAATACAAGTACAAAATAGTTGATCAACAAAGTTACCTACATTATAACTCATGTGTTTCGTATTTTTTCCTTTTTCGCGGTAAGTGATGCTCTTGACATCCCATGTGTATAGTTAGACACTTTAACTTTTTTCATGTTATTATCATCTTTACCATTTCTCACTGGACAATCACCTTCCCTAACACAAATAATAAAAAGGAAGTAATTCATTTTTCTATGATAAATTCAAATTTCAAATCCTTGTGCTTATGCAATGACCTATAACATTTAACAATTACCTTTTCTTTCACCGAATCAAATTCCATTCCAATACTAGGCTCAATGTTG